AAATAAGTCAGTGCCTGAATTACCCGCTCGCTCAATGTAATCTCAAATGTTGACAAAATCAAAAGCATGGACCATCGCTGTCTTACTCTATGATTGGGATGGACGAACGTAATCGCCCCACTCACAAGCCTGCGCTGTTCAATGTTTCAGGCAGGTAAGCAATATAACCATGGCGTTCTTTCATAGATAACTGGTATATCGTCGGAGAAATGCGCACGCAAACAGTTGGAGAAGCCAAATTTCAACTTAACCCGATCAGTGCTCTAAAAACTAGTTTTCAGGAGCGCAAACAACCTTCATTGAAAACATGACAATATATTATGGAATCTAAATTTGCCCTCCTAAAATTAAAATAGACGGAACTCCGCTTAGCTGGTATTCTTGTCGTCTGGCAGTGATTTACATCTAAACTAGACTATCAACACTTCCTCTCTCATCGATGCTTTCCATACTTGGGATTTACCCGCGATTAATTAGCGGTCACTTGTTGGTGCAGTGAAACCACGTGGGGTTCAGGACTACTGTAGAACACACGGTAAGTCATTATTTTGATACTTGGATTACTAACTGTATTTGATATAAAATTTTTCAATAGCGCAACCAGACTATCCATTAGGACGTGTTGTAGTGAACTCGAATATACAGCTTCAGTATTTTGTGACATCAGATTTTGTTCTTATTTACACGTTTCGATCGTCCATTTGTTTAGCTGGTGGCACTGACAGACCACTTCCTCCTCACGTGAGTCACGCTGCCCAGAACTGTTTGGATCTGCTTATCTGCCCACCATTCCTTGTAGGTTTGGCCAATACACGTTGGTTCCAGACCATCGAACTGTTCTCGCTGCTTCCGTACTCGACCCGCCTCTTAGGTGCCACCTCCTCCGGCTAGTATCTGAGTAGCATTCCACAGTGTAAAGTAGTGCTTCTTAACTCATATAAATTCTTTGTTCTTTATAATTACAGAATTGTCCTCAATTCGCGTTATGGAGCCTAGTTTATCTCAACAGGCGTTGACGAATATTTACAGTGTATTGTATCACGTTACCGGATGCAAACTACAGGGAAATATTTCAAATACAGCAATGTGTTTTTCATTTATATCATCGAGCATATACTTTCCTCGTCAAACTGATAGGATTGTCCTCATCCGTCTGAGAACTCCACTTCTTGTAGGCTCCCATTTCATTTACTTTCTCGAAGCCATCTTCCCAACTAGCAGTCTCCAGTAAGCGGGCAGTTCTCATCCCCGAGAAGTAGAAGCCAGCGATTAGCATTTCTTTGCAGTATTCAGTATAAGCTCTGTATAATTACAGGGATGAAATCCATCAAACCTTAACCTCATTTTTAGAGGCAGCATTTGAAATGTGAGTAGTCCTTTAGCACGAAATACCTGTGGCTGATTTGGTTCCGGTTAAAACTTACCGTAAACCACACCTCCAGCATCTGCTGAAAAACTGATCACTAGGAAGTGCAACTCGATATTCACTCAACCCAGAGCAGATAACATTTTAGCATAGCTTAAGAGCAAGTGTAATCTCACGAAACGGTCAAACAAACAAGTAAGCTGAAGGTACCATTATGAGATATATCGAGGTATGACCACTAGGAGAAACAAACATCCCTTCGTCGAATTTGGTCTATCATATTTGCTGAGCTCAGGGCAATCCACAGAAGCCCAGCGTAATGCAGTTTCCCATTATCTGATACGGAGCGTTGGTTACATTAAGCCTCGATAATACGCAGTTGCATTTCGTCGTGCCGAAGCACCCATTTCACTATAGACTACACACACGGTATGGAAACGGCCAAGTTGATAATCCGGTGATTCGCCACGTGAGTCTACTGCGGTGTTTCCTACACGCTTAACTTTTTGCTTTTCTGTGTGTTCATCATCACCATTCATCGTTATACAGCTTAGCTAGAGGTGGCAAGCACCTCAGCTACTGTGCCGCAATACGTAACAGCAACAAATGGAAAAATGCAACAGATGCAAGCCAGCTGAGCTACCGGAAACGGATGGGCATTGATCCCGTAAGCTACTAGCCGGCCACTATGCGGCAAATAAAGACTATGCCAAATAATATAAGGCTAATTGGTGAGATCGTGGTTGGAGAGGAGGCTAAGGGGGATGAGGAGCGATAAAGAAACTTACAGCATGAACGACATTGTGGTCGGCTCCCAGCCATGGCAGCAAGTGCATCTAGACAAACGTGTTCATCGTATTTGGGACCCCAACCAGGGTGCCGAGACACTCCAATTGAGGCCCGCTTCGAAGTGACGGCCTTCATTTCTCTCCACCAAGTCATCGCTTGGCCACCCTTCCTCTTCTTCCATCCACACTCCAGGCGCGCAAACAACGCAAATGTGTGACGAACACTAGGCTAGCGGGGCCGAGTGCTTTCACTTGTTTTTGCAAAGCACCAATCGAAGACATAGACGGCGATCCCTAGCAGCGATTTGCGACAGTAGTGAGGGTGTTTCCAATAAAAGCAGGACGCGGGATTGTGCAAGCCGCAATGTACAGCGGAAAGCATCCGGCACCATTTGGTGCATCTACTCAACTCGCTTTACAAGGCACATTGAGTTGAAACCATCATCGTCCAAAACAGCCCCCGTGTGCCACACCTTATTTAAAGTGGTACTACGCTAGTGATCCGGAAACGTGTCTGCACATTTTCAAATATCACAATGGTTGTTACCAACGCCCCACTAATACTTAGCATGCTTGGCACTGCCCCATATACCACCACGATGTTCCCAGCTCGTCAGTCTTTGAAAGCAAACAGGTTGGTAGCCCAGAAAAATAAATTTGGGATTAACCTAATGACACGTTATTCTATCGCCGCATTTGTATCATCTATTTCCCCTGATATCCATCTAAGACTAGGACTTTAGTCAAGCGTTTGAATTACCTTGAAGGCGTGCGTTTGTTTCGTCCTAGAGATGCATAACTTTTCAGTATTAGTTGTTTTTATCTATTGGCCACACAAATGCAACCCTTGTGCTCGAGTAGATTCATGATCGTTTCCTTATCGCTATAACAGAGATATGGTTGAGCTCTGACATAAGTGACATCGAAACCACACTGCTAGGCATGTGCACGATCGACCCAGCAAACGTGGACTGGTGGCTCCGTACTTCCGCAGCAACCTCCAATGTGAGTTAATAGAGGATCCGGTCAGCACGGTACATGATTCCCTTTGGCACCGTCTGGGTTTAAAGGGCGACGACACCTGCTTGGTGGCGTTCATTTACCGCCCTCCTTCCTCCACACCCAAGATGGACTTCTATCTGGCATCCGCACTAATGAGGGTGGTAAATACAACTTACAGTCACATTCTTATTAGTGATGATTTCAACATTCACGCTCTGGTATTCCAAGCAGCTTTCAGAGAAACGTTTAAGGCCGATCTACAAGCGTTTATCTCCAGTTACCCGGTGTATGGCTACATCGACACTGCCACCCGAAGCTGAGAAATAGGTAAGCCATCAATACTGGATCGGATATTCACTAACGAAGAAGTAATGGTCGAGAGAGTGAGTGTCGACGTCCCATTGGGCCGCAGGCATAATGTGGTTCTACTCTTCAAATTCATTTTTATGTAGAATATCCCGTGTAGATCTCCGACGCAACCGAAACGATTATGCGCTACCACATACTAACTCGACTAAGTGAGACAGCTAACTGGAAGTTCATGGCAGAGAAGGCACCAGCTAGTTCATGGAAATATTTCCTCAGCTAGTTTAACTCGCTGGTAGCCGAAGCTTCAACGACTGAGACATTCCGCACGAGAAACGCAGTCTCGTTTCCGTGAAGCAGGCCACGTAAATGTTTAGCGGTGCAAAACAGATTGGCATTTCTGCAAACTCTCTCTGACCACCTAGAACTAAATGGCCTATGCGATCCAATGAAACCACTGTACTCAGCTTGTTCTCGAGGATAGCATTGAGTATCAGCAGAAGTTAGTAGCGGGTATGTTCTCAAATGGCAAGCCTACGTAGCAACACGTTAGCAGTCAGCGTAAAGTGAAACGAAGTATTCCTCCTCTAAAAACAGCGGACGGACCCTTAGAGAAGTCCAAGTAGGCTACATCCACTCCGACTTCGGCGTCCACAGACTCTGTCCAGTTTGAACGAGCAATCAGCAAATTAGTTGTGCAGGACCTGCCTTGGCGAAATCCGTGCTGCTGCGGAACGAGGATGTTGTTTTTCTCCAGGTACTCCATGAGGGCCTCAGCTACAATGGACTCCATGATCTTGGAGATTACAGGAAGAAGGGTAATCGGACGATAATTAGTTGGATCTGCACGGCTACCATTTTTGTGGATTGGAGTGATGATCCCGTGCTTCCACATCGTTGGGACGTGCATCTCGTTAAGGCATCGCTGAAAGAGTGTCGCCAAAGGCTCAGCTAAGCTCGTGGCGGAAACTTTCAGCGCTTTCGGCCGAATGCCGTCCGCACCCGGGGAGCTAAATTCGCGCAACGACATCAACCGCTTCAATACATCTGCAGTTGTGAAGGAAATGTGGTTAAGGCCTGATGGCGGAATAAGTTGCCTAGATATGGTGCAGGATGTTTGCACACACTGGAAAGTGCGGCCGAAGTGTTGTCCTAGGACGTTCGCCGCATCCTGTGCCGTATGTGCTAATCCGAAAGCTGTGCGCAGAGCCGGAGTTCCGCGCTTAACGCGGCGAAGCTTAGTTATGTGTCTGTATAGTAGCTTTGGGTTAACGCAGAACTTTGACACAAGATCTTGTTGGCTCTTTACCTTATCCTCCCTGACGAGTGTGACACAGTGGTTTCTTTGTGTAATATAGGTGTTCCAAGTATCCTCGCTCGGAGAGGCTATATGGGCGCGCCATGCCAAATCCCTCAATCCCATGCATTTCCGGGTCCTGCTTCTGAGAAACGACTTCGCCTTGTCGGGTCGGGGGATTTTGGTTTTAGATGCCAATGCTACGAGCGTGTTGAATTTGTTGACAAATTTCCCGCATGCCACTTCTGGGGACCACTCAGTTAAGAAGGACCAGCTCGTAGCACTAATGAGTTCTGCCAGGTTATCGTAGTTGGTTACGACGTAACATTCCACGTTGCTTTCATTAGGATAATCTGCATAACACAAGTATTGGAACAATAGTGTCGCATGATCGCTGCGGCCCAAGGGAGTGGATGTGGTTACTACGTCAATCATCAGTTCCTCATTGGTGAAAACGAGGTCCAAGATGGCCGGTTTGTTTCCTGTCCTGAATCGCGTTGGGGATGTGACATGGTTGCACAGCGGTGATCCTGCAATTAGCTCTTGTAGATCGGCTTTGAATGGTTCACTCATGGTGGCTGGGGTTTCTAGGCCGTACAGATTGAAGTCCCCTACCAGCAAAACATGACTGTATGACCGTTCCAGTAAATTCATCAAAGCAGAAGATAGGGCCTTGTCCATTTCTAAAGTGGACATTGGTGGACGATATACGATGGCCAATAAGCATTTATCGCCGTGCTTTGGGTGTAGGCAACACCATAAGGAGTCTACGGTTTGAATCCCAGGGTCGTTCATGAGCTCGATGAGGTCTGAACGGTAGTAGAGAATTACACCGCCGCCCTTGGTGGGTCGATCGTTACGCAGTAGTGACATACCAGGTAGTTCGATCTCAGCGTCACTAATCATGTCGTTCAGCCACGTCTCAGTTATCATGATGAGGTCCCAACACATTGAGCTATGACGAGATCGAAGTTCTGCCAATTTGCTTAGAAGCCCTTGGGCGTTTGTATAAAGGCAATTGAGAACTACGGATGTTAGAAGCGTGTTTGAACATACGTTGGTTTTCCGAGAATTTACGCCGACCCTTGTTGGGTCGGCTGAGGGACGTTTTTTTGATGTGTCTCTTGCAAACTTCCCGGGGCCTTTACGGTGGGATGCCTACAGCGCCCTGAGTCGATCTGCAGCAGACTGTCTTTTCCTTCTTCATCGAACGGCTGGGGCGTTTCATTATGTTCCGGTACAGAAATGTAGACAGCGGGGATCGCGACTACTTCTTGCTGGTTTCGTGTTCCCTTATCCATTGGTGGCCTGGTTCCAACCGCCTTCAGACGTATTTCTGATGGCAATTTGATGCGGAACTTGTGCCGATTCCCGAGCACCGTTTCAACCATTTGTTTGGAGTAAAGCAAGACTTTAAGCACTCGTGGACCACTTCCTTTGTAGTTTGGCGATATGGGTGACCTCGATGTTGAGCTGGCAATTACGGCGTCGAGAGATAGT